TAGTTAAAAACAATATCTAACCATAGGGTCTCTTCAGTCTCAAACTGGGCAAAAACCACTGTTCAGTGTACTTGGGATACCTTTGCTGTGAGTATGATAACATCCTGGGACTGGATATAACGGTCAATGAATCCTCTAGAGCATCCTTATACATTTGGGTCAATCTGTCTTTTCAGTTTCAACCCACTGACAGTCTAAAATATCTTCCAGATCCTTCCTGTCCATCTTATCTCCTGGCTCTCAATTTCACTAAGTCTTTTCTATTCAGCTACTGCCTGGGGTGTCATTTTTAAAAGATTTTTATTAAAATATAGCTAACGTACAATACTGTATTAGTTTCAGGTGTACATGATACTTATTCAACATTTACATACCTAAGGAAGTGATCACCATAATAAGTCCAGCAATCATCTGACACTGTACAATGCTATCACAATATTATTGACTATATTCCCTATGCTGTACACCACATCTCCATGACTTATTTGTTTGGGTTAAATTATATGATATTAATTGATATTATTTGAATTGAGTGAATATAGCTTGCTAATTTCTCATATACACGTGTTTGATAAATTTATTCTAGTTATTGCTTCTAGTACATCCCAGAAGCTAGCCAGGAATAGTGCATTAACTATTTCAGAACACCAAGTCATTGGTTGATTTGGCTCCCATTAAAAATTGTTCAGATATGAACTTTTGTTTTTCATTTGTAGTAGATATTTGTCCTGTACTAATGCAGTTATAATCTTTTATTGGCCTCCTTGGAAATTAAGAGTATGATGGGCCAGATGTAAAAATACAGTGTATGGCAATGGTGCAGCCTTTCCTTTTTTTAGCAAGACAACTGAGAAGAATACAGGAGATATGATTCACAATATTATGTCATTATTAACAGTATCTCTAGATACTGTTACACAGCCCAAACAATTTACTACCACAGAATAACTTACAAAGAAAATCTCCAAACTAAGAAAATACTTTGGACTTCTCAGCTCCAGGTATTTCCATAAGTAGACACATTGTTTACATTGTGACTGGGGTTTACATTATAACTCTTGATGCTATGTTGAACCAGTTACCTTAAACCCAATGCAATGATAGTGCAACAAAATTAATAATGCCTCAAATGGATACCAGTTGATTGTTCATTTAATGACTTTGGCTTCCAGTGATGTTTAATTGAGTAACAAGAAAATTAAAACAAATTTTTAAAATTCAGAAAATATTGAATTCAAATAACTCTTTAAAATTAGAGAAGGCAGAAGCTATAACTTCAGAAAATGGATTTTTAAAACTACACAAATACGGATATCTTCAAATGGGTGTCATCCATCAAAATAGTTAATATAGTTGTCTTTAGTCAATGTAATTTATTTTTTGATGTTGTTCTAATATGAAGAATTTTGCAATCTCTCTTTCAGAAGTATTTTCAAATAATTTATATTACTGCAATGCCATATCTGATGTGGAATATGTAAGGCATATACAGAAAAAAATGTCATTTTAAAAATGTATTTTAATTACACCAGAATTATTGGTAGAGAGTAGACGGGCAGATAAAGAATAATCTCCCTCACTCAACTGCCACAATGATACACATCTCAGCAATTATGCAGTTAGTTTGTTAAGCAATATTCCAAGATGAATATTGATAAGTTTCTAGGTCTATAGTAGAAACTTCTGTACTTAAGTACTGCACATTTGTGCCAAGCTGATTGAGTACAATATAAAGGAGGTTATAGTAACTGAAGACAACATAATCCACATATTAAAACAAATATTCTCGATTATATATTTAAAAAAAAAAAAAACCACCTGAATGTCATGCTCGGTTTTCCAGCCAAGAAGTGGAAGAGTGAGGGATTGGAGACTGACTAGCTATTATAAAGAAGAAAGGTTACAATGATATATTTCTAAATCATGTAAATAATATTTGGCTACAATGAAGTGATTTGCCTGAGTTACTCTAACACAATTTTTATGCCCTCTTGAATCTAGCTACTAGAAGACAGTATTAAGAAATAATACTATTTTTTAATGTAGTACAAGTGGTTGTATATCTGGAAATATAGGCAAATAAAAGGATACAGGAATATAGACTTTTATGCTAGCCAAGTTCTCATCTAGATCTTTGAAGTTTCTGTTTATAATTGCCCTACTTATTTTTTAATATATCATTTCCAATTCTCTTCAGGTAAACTGTTCAAAACATACTTTATAATGTTACGCTAACTCATGTCTATGTCCTTTACAAATGATCGATGTTTTATAACTAAATAAAAATAAACTGTTTCATTCCCTATAAATGCTTCCACAAATAAAAATAAAACTGCTTTAGGTTAAGAAAGGTCATGATTTACAAAGTCAAAGCAATGAAATTTGAAGTCTATATCAGTGGTTCCCAGACGCTGGCATGCATCAGAATCATGACCTGAGGAAATGAACACAAATTGCTGGGTCCCACACTCTGAATTTCTGATTTAGAAAGCCTGGGACACAGAGAATTTGCATTTCTAATAAGTTCCCAGGTGAGGCTTATTCTGAAGGTTAGGGGTTCCACTATGCGAACCTAACTTCTGTGATATGTAAGAGATATTTAAAAAGTAATGTATAAATATACTTTTTGCACCCACCCAATAGCTGTGACATTTATAACAACCAGGGATGATGATTTTCACACAAAGCCAATTCTATTCTCAGCTAAGTGACTAATAATCATACAAATATAAAACCAAAAAAATAAATAAATAAAAGACCACCACCTTCACCATGATGATCAGGTTAGTTCAGCAGCAGAACTGCCTCCTTCATTGTTAAGCAACATGGACAATGAGGTTATTCTAATGCAATTGTTTCCTACTTGCCTCCACTCCTAAATCTTACCCTTTCTTACTGACCAAATGAGACTTGCCAGGACAAATAATCTGAATTAGAAAAAGTGACAGGGAAAAGAAACCATGTCTTTCTAATCCATACAGTTCCAGCCATCCTGCCTCTCATCAATCTCTCTCACTTCTCATTATTTCCTACACACATATATATACACATAATTAAAAAAAAGAAAAAACCAACAACAACAACGACAAAAAACTCCTTTTGCTGAGATGATCTGAACCAATGGGAAAGAAATAAAGACTTGGACGTGGGATAAAAGGAATTCAGACTCTCCCATACTACGGAACAGCTAGCTCCTTGAGAAGACTCTAAATCCAGCATTCCTCCATCCCTAGAATCCTGGACATTCTCAGCTGCTCAGGAACACCAGAGTCTGGCAGAAGTCAAAAGATCACTAAATGAATTCCTGTTCTCCTCAAGGGCCCACCTCCTGCCGACAGCCAAGAGGTAAGATCTGCCTGGAGATTTAGCATCTCTCTCATACATACACACACCACCACCACCACCACCACCACCATCATCATCACTATCATCACCAAGCTCTCTTCCATCTGAGAAAGAGGAAGTAGGGAGAAAGGGGACACGAAGATTCTTAGAGGTAGGAGAAAGTGAAGGTTTCTTGGCCGGAGCCAAGGAGGAAACTAGGAAGACACAAAAGGGGAGTGGCAGACAGCATGCAGGAGAGGCCAGAGCTTGCTACTAGGTGACCCCCTCCCGGGCACCCCCAAGCACTGCTCAGCCCTGAACAGAACACAGTGGACAGAGTAAGGGCTGGGTCGGATCTCCCGCATTCTTTCCGAAACACCCACCCACTGCGCACTCCGCGTTCTCGGAGAGTTTGCAGATTCAGGGTACCCTTGTACCCACGCCCACTCTGCAGTCTGCAGTCAGATCCACCGTCTCAGGGAAAGGTCTGGCATTTCCACAAAACCTCATGCCCTTTACCCCGGGGGCAGCCATTGACCTAGCACTGCAGTGCTAGGGTCCAAACCCTGAGTGAAACAGTGAGAAGGTGGACTGGATTTACAGCACATATTCTCTGGGTATTGGCCCTAGGGGAGCTGTGGGCGAGTTTTAACCTGCTGTCTCCCCAAGTGCTGTTCTTCTAACCTCCCCCATGATACCTCGAGATCACAAAAGTTATTTTTCCTTTGTGGCACCTCCTGCGTGTCCCAGGAGAAGACGCACTTCGGTCAAAGCCTGGGCGGGGGGGGGGGTGGCAGGGGGAGTATCCTTCGGTCCCGAAAGCCAAGGGTGCCAACTGCTGACAGGTAAAGGAACCTGGATTTGCTCTTGAAGACTTAAAAACTCCCGAATTAACAAGCTCGCCCTTTTCCCGGTCCTAACCCGCACGGATCTGGTTTTTCCAGAGAACTGATATTGTGTTCCAGTTTCAGTGAGCTGGTGTCCTGCCCCGGAGCCCAGACGCGCGGACTTGGCCATCCGTTCATTCATGCATTTGCTCATCCATTCACACAAACATGTTCCTTAATTGTGTCTGGCACCGAGAATCTTGCCTGCTATTCTCCCCTCCCCAAGTCAGTGCTCATGGCAACGGCTGGTGCAGAATGCAACTCAACTGTCACCCCACTTCCTGAGCCGGAAAACCAAGTCTTGTAGGCATTCACACACAAAAAGGAAAAGGTGGAGAGGAGGAGGAGGAGGAGAAGGCGGACGGGGGGGGCGGGGAGGCGGGGGAGGAGAAGGATGGGGAGCTCGCTGGGGTCACATTCGAAGCCTCCCTTCAGGGGAAACCGCGGCACTGACACCGCGGCACTCGAGGAGGCAAATGATTAAATCAAAGATCGCTAGAGCTCGAGTCCCCAGCAGGGGTAAATCAAGTGCAAAGCCACTCGTTCGCTGGAGTGCGATGCTGCCGACTCGACCCAACTCCGAGCTCGAGCCGAGGTGCTGGGGGAGCGGCTCGCCTCCCAATCCGCAGCTCGCTCGCTGCCTCCTTATAGCTCTCAATAACGTGATGAAGTGTAAATCAAATGCCACGCCGGGAGGGGCCCCGGAACGACGCGAGTTGTGCATTTTCGCTCACCAGCCTATCTTGCCTAAGAATCACAAGGTCACGATAGCGTCGCGATTCCACTCACCGTACACTCCTTGGCCAGAGATCCCCTCCAGGAGGACTGTCAGCAGCCACACGAGACCGTACACTAAATCCATCTTCACGTGAACATGGACATATCCAGCCCAGGGGGGAAGCAGCGGGACCTTCCGGAGGCCGGCGGCCAGGCGAGTGCTCCCCACTCGCGCCCGAGCTGCGCCGAGGTGCCCGGGAACCGCTCGCCCAAGTAAGCGCCGTCCGTCCGTCCTTCCCCGGCGGCGGCCGTGAGCGGAGCGCAGGAGCCCCGCACACCCCACACTCATGCACGCACACACAGACACACAGGCGCACACTCTCCCACAACACAATACCCTGACACACACTCACACGCACGCCTCACTCACACCGGGCGCCTGGGAAAATCGCAGACGCCGGGGAGGAGCGGGGGGCGTGATGGGAAGGGGAGCCGCGAGGCGAAGTGTTCTTCAGGGCAGCGGGCTCGAGTCTCCGCAGCGGCAGCGGCGCCGACGCGCTGGGCTGGCGGCGGGCGCGGGCAAAGGGCCGGGGGTGCTGAGCGGTGCGAGCCTGGCGCGGGCAGCCAAGAAGCAGGAAGTGGCCTCTGACTCGGGGCACGGAGCAGGGGCTTCCTCGCCTGGGTTCGCCTTTACAAAGTAACTCGCGAAGGTCCCCGGAGGAGCGTCAAGCGGCGGCAGGGGCCCGCCCGCCCGCAGTCCGGAGCCCAGAGCCCAGCTGTCTTGCCTTCCCCCATTCCATCAGTTGCCATTGCAACGCCAATCCTATTACACGATACAGGCTCGCATCGCCGAGCGGGGAGAGGAGGAAGAGGAGGAGTGGGACTAGGGGAACCGGGGTGGGGAGGAAGGGAAGGGAAGAGGGGAGGAGAGGGACCGGCAGGGAGCAGACTGTGCGTCTCAAGCTCTCTCGGGCACCAGTCTCAGCCACCCCGCCACCTCCTCCACCACGGTTCTCCAAAACAGCCTTCAGCGCCCCGCCAGCGAAGAGGGGCCTCGGGCCGGCCCCACCAGTTCCGGGAGCCGAAAGCAGAGTCCAAGCACCGCCACTTGCGAAGGGAGAAGCAGAGACCGGATCCGCACACACGTCTACGCGTGCTCACCGGCCCCGCGCGCGTCCTCTTCCCTTCCGCGCCGCCCCCGCCAGGTGGAGGGGTGGGGGCGGTCGGGACAGGCGAGAGTTTAGAGGAGGGAGCCGCAGAAGGGGTTCCCCGCCTGGGCTAACGTAGTGCTGGCATCCAGAGGCGAACGCGGGAGCGGCCGCCCGAGGACGACACCGGCTGCGTGGCCGCCGCTCGGGCCCCAGCTGCGGCAGAGTCCCCGCGCCAGGCGGCGGAGCGCCCAGGGCTCGCGCCGGCCGGAATCCCTGGGTGTGCGCCGGGGTGCGCGCCGCGGAGGCGAAAGGGAGGAGGAGGAGGGCGAAGCCGAGAGCTGGCGGCCGGGCTGCGAGAGGAAGGCTGTGTGTGGTCACGTTGTGCGCTACGTGCCGAGAGCGCGAGCCGCTATCCGCAGCCGGGCGACGTCAAAGCCGGGTGCGCGGCTCAGCCGCCTTCCTCCGCGCTCTGCTCCTCCTTCGCTTCTGCCTTCCTGTGTCAGCCGCCGAGCTCATCAGTATGGACAGCGCCGAGAGGCTCCGCCAGGCCAGCGGCATCCGGCCTCCAGCCTGCCCCGCCGAGGCCCTCCCCTGACTCTCCGCGAGCTCCGCGGCTGCGGCCCCCGTTACTGTTTCGGTTGCCGCTGTTTGCGTTTGCTCGGGGAAGGGCCAGCTTCCACCTTAGACCGGGGGTAATTACGGGAGGACACACTATCCCCTCCCCGCCGCCCAAGGTCTTCCAGGATCCGTTCTGCTTGACTAGAGGGCAGAACAGGCCACAGTACTTGGAAGCGGCTTCGTTGCTTCCTATTTCTGTTCTTTTAAATGGAAATGTGGTCATCACAGCAATGAAGGCTCCAGGGCAGAAACACTAGTTCAGAGCTTACTTTAATATGCACTGTCACCTACTAAAGTTAACTGCTTTGAAAATCTTTTTTCTTTTGTGAAAAATAGTTTCATTGGGACAGAGCTGGCTCTGATGTTTGAGGAGCTTAAGAAATTCATAGTTCCAAAAGGATTAGAAAATGCGAGCATCTTTAATTTTCATGAGAACTAGCGTAGAACTATTTCACCAAAAATTAATAGGGTAAACTGGAAATACAGTATTGGTTTGTGATTTGTTTCTGTAACCACAAAAATTAGTGCTTCCTGCACGCGATCCACTTTGTTGACTGTATTCTTCACTAATTCAAGAAACATTGGATGGAGAAGAGTTTAAAATGATCAAGAACGTGTATTTAAACATGTGTTACTAAAGCGATTTCTATGGAAAATCTGGAGCATAATATTCATTTATGTGCTCCCATAATAGATTGATATAACACTGCAGGTCCCTCTCCCCAGCTACTACTTGTCCTGGGGGAAGGGGACTCAAAGCACTAGAAAATGAACAGTCCTCATTGTTTCCACCAAGGTCCTTTTCCTCACTTAAGTGACTTATGGGGTTATGCATATTATTTACGTAGGGTGTGATCTAGTGCTTACTCTCTGGGTTTACCAGATAAGAGGAAGCAAGAATGTTGAGATGGTCCCAAAGGATGCCTCACATAGTGTTGAGAAACCTCGTCTTCTTTATGGAATGCCACTTCCACGTAGATGGAATTAAGTATCACTCGAGAAGCAAAACGCAGTGTGTGGCAATTCTGAAGGGGAATGAGCAAAGCTCACTCAGTAGTCACCTGTGGTGGTGGTGGAGGGTTGGAGGGGAATTGTCTTATGTTTGTGGAGATCTGTCTTATGAAAGTAGATCATTCCTGCATACTGCAGCACAGCAGCTTCATGGGCAGTAAACTGCAACTCCTCACAGATCTCCGCTCAGAATCTATCTTGTCTACGAGGCACTTACGTCAGATTTTAGTTGTTCATGTTTTGAAACAGTACTTCACCTCCATGTTCGTACTGTCCTTTTTTGATTCTTATTTATGGGATCAGTCTGTCTGAGAGATTTCAGGACTCTAAACTGAAATATTTTATTACCCAAAAAGTCAATATATCACTTTGTCAAAGGAACCCACACTAATGATGACTACTTTTCTTAACCTTCAACTTTAGGAGATAAGCTTCAGGAATTCAGGTCCTTTCTTTTCTATGCAGTGCACACCTCTGCCTAGGGAAGGAGCCCTCAGCAGTTCCTGAGTGAATTATTTAGAGCTTGTAGAGAATTTAGAGAACCTGGTCATTTTACAATTTATTTCAATTGAGGAAACCAGGTGTATCTACTCTGGGCCAGGCCTTGTCCTGATTATTGTACTGTTAAAGACATATATAGACAGAATCCCTTCCTTTAGGAAACATACGATCTAGTGGACAAGATATGTTGGCCAACACATGAACCACTACATCTATTGACACTATAAGTGCTATATAGATAAAGTCCTAGGGCATAGGATGGCAAATTTTACATGCAATCATTAATTGGGTTATATAATAGTAAGAATAAAATTGCACTGGACTTAATGTTTTTTTCTTCCTTTGAAAATATTAGGTAGATTGTTTATCGAAACAATTAACCAATTCAGTCAGCCAAGATTTTGTTTTGTTTTGTTTTCATTGAAATTCGACATTTTTTAGGTTGCCTTGACCAAATAGGCATGATGCATATATACAGCCATACCTTGGCACTAGCTATTGAAGGCCTCCAGGTGGTGAGCCTGAGCTGAAGCTTAAGGACAGGCAGAGAGATGGTTTATCAGAGAAAAGGGGAGGAGCTCTAGAAAGCAAGTCCAAAGGCTGTAATGAAATCAGACCCAGAACGCTCTGTGCAGCCCAATTAGAGCAGTTTCCCATAGGAGCAGTGTAAATAACTTTAAGGATCACCAGCTTCTTGGATTTTGCACAGTGAATATGGATATTGCATAGTACCCAAAGGAATCCCATATTGCATTACTGTCAGGGCGCACTCAAAAGTATTCTTTCTCTAATGGGAACAACAATAGATACTTTATCATTTGTAATGACAGGATCATGAAAATTTAGGGCTCTCCTCTGACAGCTCTAATTACCTTAACAACTTGTCATATTGACCATAGTTTCATTTTAAATTTCTGTCTCCATTCTTCAGTATGAGCATGATGTTCCAACCTAGGTGGCGTGAGAGAGGTAATGTCACAGAGAGAGAGTCACGGCTTGTCATGAGATCCCCCCAAGATAGTGTAATAGGAATGAGCAAGACAAGTAACTGAAGATACAGCTGAGTAGGCAAAATCAGAATATCAGTGGCAAATCTGTCTTTTCTTTCTAACCTAGCCTCTTCCTGTAAAGCAAATACTAGGTCTTGTATATTATTTATGGCTACTCCTTGTTCCCCTGCTGGCCCTTTAAATCACACTGACTCTCATACACACTATTCCCTTCTAGTTTATAAAATTGTACAAGAATGCAAAAATCACCAGTGGCATATAGGTAATCTCTCAGGAATTGTGCAACTTGATCTGTTGCTTCATACTTCCTTTGCTTGCTCTATTCTTCTCAGTCACAGGTTCCTGGTTCATATCACAGCTTACTGAGACTATAACTCACCCTGAATCATTCCTTGGTTGGCTGCAAACCTGGACCGCCGGCCTAGCTTTTTTTATCCTGAGGCTAAGTCTACTTTTGATATTTCCAAAATGTGCTAAGTCAAGCTCCATTGTTCTATGGCTTAGACATGAAACTGAGACCTCCTACTATTGCCTCTGCCCATTGGACTAGATCTCTTTAAAGCTTATCGAGATTAGAGTAAAGTTTGATTGAATCCTAAAATGGAACCATTCCTGTAGGGGCACAAGCTTCTGTCCTGGTAAATTGTCTCTAGCTAAATGCCCATTCACCTAGTTTTATTTTCTCCTACTTAGTAAATAGATTCCAGCATGCAAGTTTAGAAGTCTAAGCAGCATCACATAGAATTGGCTGTTTCAGATGCTACTGAGACATGATTCATCATAGCACTGGGTATTCCAGGTGCTGGTCATTTCCAGGAGGCAGGCAGGGGGCAGCTGTTCACTAAGCAGCAGAACCCAGACACTGGCGTTAAGTATGAGACAAGGGTTTTGTTTTGGGAAACATAGTGTCCCTCAACAAGGCTTTAGGGAGAACAAAAAGGGCAATCAGAAAGGCAACTTGCTAATATTAGAAATAAGGAAGCACATCAAATCCCCATCGTATGGACTGAGAGAAGTCCAGAAGAGATATATGGCTTGAGGAAGCAATAAAATACCCAAAGAATAATCCCTGGAGGTACCTACCAAATCCAGGGTGAAAATAAAAAAAGAGGGTCCCAGGTGAGGCTGAATATATGGATACTGTTCTGAGAGGATGCCAAGGTAATTTGTTACCAGATGATGGGGCTAAGGTCTCAGATATACTGCGGCTGCCAGTGAGGCGTATCAGACAAACCAAGAAAAGTAGAGACAGAGGCAGAAAACATGAGACAGGGGCCTTGGTATTGATACTTTATCTTCAGCTTGAAAATAGCAAATTTCTGATACTTTTACTCATATGATAAAGAGCATTCCCTCTCATAGACCCTTTTTTCAAGACAGGCATGCTAGTCTCTAGTTCGAGACTTCCAGGATTTTGTGAACCACTGAAGTTTTCTATACAGTTTGTGTCTTGAATCCATAATAATTTCTAAAAGCCTACCCTCATATACCATAGTCTTGGGTAATTATAGTAGTTCTGCCCTGGACTTATTTTTATTCTGGCATGTCTCCCTTGAACTCTTATTATAATTCTGACATTATTTCAGGAACAAACCCAATGCTGATTTGTTCCAGGTTAGAAGATGTTCAGCGCAGGAAAGTGTAACATAGTAGGTAAATGTCTGAGCTTTGGCAGCAGA